TGATTAAAGGGTTAAGAATTTCACTTTTTGCCTTAACACATTAACAGATTGAGAGCCCTTCTAAGACGGATCTGCAGATGGGTATTGATTTCTAAATAGTTGTTTTAAAGTATTCTATTCTTTGGTTCTTTCGGTAAAGTCACGTAGATAGAAAACTAAAGAATATGAATTCCTGCAGTCACGAAAGTTTTAAGTCAAAATTTAAAGTATTCTCTCCTTATGTTGCAAGATTACTTAGTATACATATTTAATGAAATGCTTGCACTTTTTGCCATTGCATTCTAATAAAAGTAATTGAAAATTTAACAAGACGAACAAAATTGGCCTCACTGTGTTTTTTTTACGCTTAGACTTTTTGCCATAATGTAGGACGCAATGTGCAGAAAGTCTTGAATTTCAACAGGCGTAGTGGCGCCGAGGGGACATTCACGCTGCACGTCGAGGGAAGCCAGGCTAAAAATGGCATTGTGCGTGGTAGCATTTTATATGGGTTTTATATAGATAAGACACACAAGGGCATTTGGATTCCAGTATGAAGCGCACCTTCTTTTGGTAGAATGAGATAATGATATTGTTGATGGTGTTTGACCATGACAGCAGACAGTGGCAGTGTATTGTAAACATTGTGTTCAGATACAGAAATTTTTTTTTCCCTGAGCAGACAGTAGTTTTGTGTTCGTTTCAGAACAGTGCAGCCTCAGTGCCGCGTATCCATCTGTCAACCTTGTACTTGTGAAAGCCATGCCTCTTGACATGCCCAGGAAGTAATTAGCTGCCATCACTATGATTATACAGTCATATCTTTATATCTCATCGACATGATAGCATGTGTGATGTGTTTAAATATCACATGTAATAGCAGTTATGTTTTACAATATAATCATTGCATGCAGTGTAACACCTCCACATAATACTAAAGTTTTAATATTAATTTTAAACATTTTGTCGGATATTGAATGTTTTCACCAAGTGTCTTTCTACCCCATGGTACTTATCTCAATTAGTGGCCCTGAACTCGTAGAATAAATTACATTTTCAAATGCAGGGGGAGCCAGTTCATGCATAGGAATCATTATTATACTAATTAATATAAGCAGACATTGTTTAATCATGGCTATGGCTTTGTGTGTGCTGCACTGTGCGTGTAATGTGAACTCTATATTAGTGACTGTCCCATGCCTCCTCTTTGTTCACTGCCAGTAATTCTTTGAAGCCAAATGAGTGCCATTCATCATCACTCAGTGTTACTTACCTTCTTTACTTGGGCTAATTATGTATTCATTAGTCTTGGTGATCTTACCTTCTTAACTGTAGTTTTATTATATACTCCTTTCGTAGTTTTTTTTCTCATATTAAATGCAGGTGTAGTGTTTATATGATTAACTTTGAGGTTGGACCTATATATGGTGACTTGCATCACCGGTTTACAGTTGTTGCATGGAATACTTTTGTGAGAAGTCTTATTTGAAAGTCGAGATGGGTCTTTGCGTATGTTGTGCTTTACTTATTTAAGCTGGACTCCTTGTTCATAATTTACTAACACGTCAGAGGTAACATTAACATTGTAGTTATTAAAATGACAAATGCATTAAATAATATAGCAGTACGACTCATGTTATATAAGTTAAGATTGAATTAAACAAACCTGTTCTAATTTATATTAAATCTTCGGTATTGTGAGTGCTCTTTTTTCAAGAATTTTCCATTCCATTTAATTGATTCACAGTATATGCATGAAATCACCTGGGTAAGCTTTTAAGATGAAACCGAAAGTCTGTCTTGCCAGGCATTATCCCAATTAGTCGCTGAGATTCAAGCATGCCTTTTTACGCCTCTGACATTCTGTGCATGCTATAAAACATTCATCTTTATTGTTCTGTGAGAAAAAAATACGTGATAGGTTGAAGGCTATCTGCTTTGTTCGCACAGCTCGAATTTACTGTAATGCTGTGTTTAACATGTCGATTTCTGTTCAAAGCCATGGTTAAAATTACACGTGTACGTTTTTATAGCTTCAGGAAAAAATATTCAGAAATATTTAGAAGTTATCCTTTTGGCCATTACTAAGTGTGAATTTTACGTTCTGGCAGTTAATTGAAAAGGTCACCGAAGGAACTGATATTTAATGCTTTTCCCTTTTCAATATGGATTATGGAAAACCTTAACTATGAAGGTGAGAATGGTTGATAAATTTGTGCTGTTGATGTCAGAAAATTTCAGCAGGGAAATGAGGTCATTCTCATTACAACAATATATGTTGGTCACGATAATTACAGTGCTTGTTTTCCTACCAAAGCCTAAGTCTCAATTTCAGTTCAATAATTTGTGCAATGTCTGGACAATCTTGATTTGAACCTTTCATGACTGCAGCCATCCATGATGATGGACGCTTGTGTTGTGCCCGAAACGTCCATGATGATGGACGCTTGTGTTGTGCCCGAAACGTCCATGATGTTGGATGCTTATGTTGCGCCCGAAACGTCCATGATGATGGATGCTTGTGTTGTGCCCGAAACGTCCATGATGATGGATGCTTATGTTGCGCCCGAAACGTCCATGATGATGGATGCTTGTGTTGCGCCCGAAACGTCCATGATGATGGATGCTTATGTTGCGCCCGAAACGTCCATGATGTTGGATGCTTATGTTGCGCCCGAAACGTCCATGATGATGGATGCTTGTGTTGTGCCCGAAACGTCCATGATGTTGGATGCTTATGTTGCGCCCGAAACGTCCATGATGATGGATGCTTGTGTTGTGCCCGAAACGTCCATGATGTTGGATGCTTATGTTGCGCCCGAAACGTCCATGATGATGGATGCTTGTGTTGTGCCCGAAACGTCCATGATGATGGATGCTTATGTTGCGCCCGAAACGTCCATGATGATGGATGCTTGTGTTGTGCCCGAAACGTCCATGATGTTGGATGCTTATGTTGCGCCCGAAACGTCCATGATGATGGATGCTTGTGTTGTGCCCGAAACGTCCATGATGTTGGATGCTTATGTTGCGCCCGAAACGTCCATGATGATGGATGCTTATGTTGCGCCCGAAACGTCCATGATGTTGGATGCTTATGTTGCGCCCGAAACGTCCATGATGATGGATGCTTATGTTGCGCCCGAAACGTCCATGATGATGGATGCTTATGTTGCGCCCGAAACGTCCATGATGATGGACGCTTGTGTTGTGCCCGAAACGTCCATGATGTTGGATGCTTATGTTGCGCCCGAAACGTCCATGATGATGGATGCTTATGTTGTGCCCGAAACGTCCATGATGTTGGATGCTTATGTTGCGCCCGAAACGTCCATGATGTTGGATGCTTATGTTGCGCCCGAAACGTCCATGATGCTGGATGCTTATGTTGTGCCCGAAACGTCCATGATGATGGATGCTTATGTTGTGCCCGAAACGTCCATGATGATGGATGCTTATGTTGCGCCCGAAACGTCCATGATGTTGGATGCTTATGTTGCGCCCGAAACGTCCATGATGATGGATGCTTATGTTGCGCCCGAAACGTCCATGATGTTGGATGCTTATGTTGCGCCCGAAACGTCCATGATGTTGGATGCTTATGTTGCGCCCGAAACGTCCATGATGATGGATGCTTATGTTGCGCCCGAAACGTCCATGATGTTGGATGCTTATGTTGCGCCCGAAACGTCCATGATGTTGGATGCTTATGTTGCGCCCGAAACGTCCATGATGATGGATGCTTATGTTGCGCCCGAAACGTCCATGATGATGGATGCTTATGTTGCGCCCGAAACGTCCATGATGATGGACGCTTGTGTTGTGCCCGTAACGTCCATGATGTTGGATGCTTATGTTGCGCCCGAAACGTCGTGATTTATGTTATTTTATACCTACGTCACTTTACCGAAGAACCAAAGGGTATGAATGTCTGGACAATTTCAGTTTTGATAACTTGTTTAATATTACAAACTGGATATCCTCGGGGGAGGGGGGGGGGAACCTCTTCTTTCTACTCTTAGTGGATAATACTCAATGTGCGCAATATCTAGAAAATGACTTTCTGTACTGCCTGCAACTGACATGTTCATGCCATGTAGGTGGGTGTAAAATTCACGAGTTCACAGGCATACATCAATACGCTTCGGCCCTTTGTGTGTTTTTTTTTTATAACGGCAGTATGTTTAAATATATTGATCTAATCATGCATTCATTTCGAAGTGCATTGAACGCAATGTTGTGACGTTATTGTTTTTTTGTATTGGGAATTTCACTGTATGGTGCCGGCCCGGGAGGGCCGTGGCGTTCTATGTACTTAACGTCGCGGACAGCACCGTGTGGATTGCTGTGTGAGGCCGGCTCTAACACGGCACGGCGTTGCGATGCACTCCGTAGGTGGGTGTAGTACCAGCCCTAGCGGGGCTTGGTGAGCGCTGGGATAGCACGGGCACCACGCATGGCGTGTAGTGCGAGCGCCCACAAGGGGGAGCGGGAGAGTGTCAGCCCAGGGCCATGGCACTCTGGTTGACCCCGTAGACATGTGATCTGGAGTGTCCACAGAGAAGGCCCCAGGTTGGGAGGGCTAGGGGGTGATCATGTGTCCAGGGAGAGCTCTCGAGAGGGAGCTAGAACGCTCGAGAAGGCAGGCAGGGGCCGAGGGAGGATATAAGGTGGGTCCCTCAGAGGGATCGGGGTCGCGTCGTTCTACAAGCTGGAAGCTTTACGTCTACAAGCTGGAAGCTCTACGTCCTACGAGGCATCAACACATGGCCGGGGACCCGAGTGTGGGTCTGACTCTTCGTAGCTGTAACTCCTACGTATAGTGTAGTTAGCTGGGTGGTCACCACCCCAGGCTGTATCTGGTAAAGGGGCAGTTACCGCTTTGTATATACGTGTTACAATAAATGTGTTGCCTCTAAAGAATAACGTCTGCGACTCAGTTGGACTCACTACATGTATGCATGGGATGTTTGAAGTACTGTACAGTTGCATTGTGTAACATGTAGGTTTTTTTTCTGCAGGTAATGAACTCATCTTTCCTGCCTCGGTGCATGATAACCTGGTCTGCAGCAAGACATTTTTAATCCTCTATAAAAATGAAGAAGTCGTCCTCAATGAAGTCATTCTCCTTAAAGCCCTGCTCCTCGTGGACAGCAAAAAGGTTAAAAAATGTGTTTAAAGGACAATAACTCATCTCCATAATCGAGAGTAGAATGGTTTGCTATGTGTAATTTAAAACATTTTAAAATAATTGAAAGGCCTTTACACAGGAAATCCTCCAAGTCCCAGTACACATTTTGAATATGGTTCTTGGATGTTGGATGTTTGGCTTTTTTTTCTGGATTATTTATTTGGGTAGAAACCAGCAATACCTGGAGAATACCCAGGCATGTTGGTTTCTTAATTGCAGTCCCAACCTGTCGGCATCCAACTTGCTATACTGCCCCCCCCCCCACCCCCCCAAACATCGCATTGCCTGGGAGGTGTGTGTGTGTGTCTCGCACCCATGGCCCTGCTTCGAAATAGCTGGATTATGAGCATGATCCGCTGCACCTGCTGAAAACGTATACGTGCCAAAATAAAATGTTACTCATTACTAATGAATAATTCATAAAGGGAGCTGGCAATACATAAGCAACAAAGTATCAATGCATTCACTGAAAGCTCAGGTTCTTTGCAGGCCACTTATAAAGATTTTACTTTTCCAAAAGTTAATATGTATTATTTAATGATGTGTAAAATTTCATTTAGAAAGCACATATTTTTTATCAACCCATGTAGTGAATTCGACCAAGTTTATCTTGGGGCCAGTTTCAGGTATAACCTTTAATGGCTTTTTGAATATAGACATTCCATTACCCTAGATCACCCAGCTTCATTTGATATTTTTTTTAATGTAAGCCACATAATTTTTTCTGTATTGTATTTGAAGAATGCTGATGCAATTTAAACAATTTGATCTTCACACGTTTGGCCATACTTTGCTTCATTTTCAGGTCCAAGAATCTTTGAATGATGTGTGCTTCCAGATTGTGGTCGATCTTCATTTCACGGATGGAGACTTTGCGTAAGTATTCAGCAGTTTCGTCCTAGCACTTTAAACTGTTTTGAAACTTCTACTAAATTATCTTCTTTGGTGATGACTTTTATAGCCCGCAATAGCCGACAACAAAACAAACGAGAAAAAAAATACTGGTTGTAACGTGTATACTTGTGGTAACGTGTATACTTGTGGTAACGTGACAACGTGTACACACTCAGTACTTTGCAAGAACAACATTAGTGCCCACCCACTGTGGTCAAACCAGTAATTTCATTGCATTCATATTTTTGCTTTTTCACCATTCTTGCAAAAATGGTAACACTCCCACCTCCTTATCATCCATTTTAGCTCTCTTCCTGCAGGGCATAAATACTGTAAAGGACACTCCTTTAAGTCATTGTAAATGAGTGCTCATATGCAGGTACAGTGCAAATATTCAGGTGTCGCTGGCGAGTCTCTTGCAGGGACAGGCAACATTTGTTTTTCTGTTTAGGTGTTGTAATATTGACACACGTCAGGGACTTTTCACAGGATGAATTGGATTTCGAGGTGGCTGTGTAGTTGGTAGCGTTTTTTCCCTTTGCAACCTTTGTATTTAAGCTGCCTGCTCTGAATAGAACCTGACAATGGCACTATTGCATAGGGAGCCAAATTGTTCAATATCGTGTCTCGGTAGTTACCAGCAAGTGCTTATAAATGGCATCAAGCAATGCCCCACGGGTAAAATGACTGCTTTGTTAACTGAAACCCTTGCGGCTCCAACTGGTAATGGGCAGGGGCAACTTGCTCCATGGTACAAGGGCAAATATTATTTGAATAACTTTTGTTTCTTAAATTAGTGCACATAAAAGTCGATGCGACAAAACGGTTAAGTCAACGACACATTAATCAATTAAAATGTATTCTTACACTCACAATGCACGTATAGAACAGCGCGAGTAACACATTGTTATTTTAATTCCTGTATTTTGCATGCAATTGGTTAATGTGAACCCTGCAGTCACTAGATATGCTACAGTGGTTTAAAATAATATAATCTTGAATCAAATTGTGAGCCATAAATTAACATTCAAATTGCAAGGGGTGAAAGCCATTACATGCTCGGCCAAGCATCTCTGCTCAAATTAGTATTGCTTGGTATTCTTGTACTCCTAATTGCAAAGGCAAGGGCTACCCTTTATAGATTTGTCATGCGAGCGTAAATCGGGTTGTTGCTGGGCTCTGGCCCAATCACACGGCCCGGGGTGTTGGGGGGCGGAGCCTGGTCTGCGGGGCGTGTGGGAGGGGCCGCCGTTCACCTCGGCTCCAATGGGAGGCAAGGTGAATGGGGGCGGAGCCTGGTCTGCGGGGCGCGTGGGAGGGGCCGCCGTTCACCTCGGCTCCAATGGGAGGCAAGGTGAATGGGGGCGGAGCCTGGTCTGCGGGGCGTGTAGGAGGGGCCGCCGTTCACCTCGGCTCCAATGGGAGGCGAGGTAAATGGGGGCCGGAGCCAGCTGGGCAGTATGGAAAGCCGGATCTGACGATCCGGAAGGGGAGGAGTCAGGGTCACGTGGGGGGAATGTATATAAGTGGGAGCCCGGAAGAGATCGGGGTCAGTTGGGGAAGTTAAGAGTCTGAGCCACGTTGGGTGGTGAGAGAGATCCGCGCCATCGGCCACGTGGCCGAAGGACCTCAGCACACCGTCGGCCGGCGGTGTGCGGAGTGTGGGAGTAGAGGAGCTAACGGTGGAGCGTGCGCGGCACGCGAGAGGAGACGCTGGTCCCTTATCAGGACCAGCGGAGTGTGAGGAAGAGTGGAAGAGCTGACGAGGGAGCGCGTGCCGGGCGCGCGCGAGACGACGCCGGTCCGCGGAGGAGACCAGCGGGGTGTGGAAAAGAACCTAAATAAAAGACAAGCGGAGACCAGCAGTGCCTGACAGTCTTTTATTACAGATTGATAATTGTTGGTGAAAATAACAGTATCTTGGCCGTTTTAGGACGTTTTCATTTCAATGTTTGGTCAATTCATGAGTGACGAAATCTTTGTGATCGTCAATCCTGAACTCCAAAGTGCTGCATTACACGCATGTGCCACCGTATGTCTGGTCCAGAACAAAAACATGCATGATTGTTTTCTTAGAATAGTATATAGTAATTAAAGTATGCAGTCTATGACTTTTAAAAGTTCTTTAATTGTTAGAAAATATCATGGAAACACTAAACATTCTTCCAAATGTATAATATTTGTAAAATGTTCAGTAAACTTTCAGTCATATGTGTGCATGTGTGTGTTTTCGCGCATAATCTAATGAAATTACATTCATTTTTTGTTAGAACATAAATATTTGTCAGCCTTAATCACAAATAAGGAGCTTTGTAAAAAAATATTATTCTGCTTGGCACACCAATCTCATCTGACTTGTCATGGAATGGCTCATGGGATGGCTTTATTATGAATCCGGCTAAGTAGGCAACATCTTCTTTAACTCTGAACAATTGTTACAATTATACAAAGCACAAATTCGCCCAGAAGTTGGAATTCTGCTTGCAATTTTGTGGCGAATTACCCGCTTCCGAACCTCACTGTACTTGATGTCATTCAACCTAAAGCAGTCGGGTAAATTGATGATCCAGTCCTCACTAAGTTTCTCTTGTCACTCGCTTACCAGTGTTCGGTCACTTATTACTCTTCTATCGCGACTACCCTGGTTCCTGCTCCCATGAACTTCACTCATTGCTTACTCCTCTACCAGACTCGCTGTTGATTCTCGTCTATACTTGTTTCAACCACTGCACTGAATTTCAATCTTCTTCTCTATCTGCTTCTTCCCACGCAATGCTCAAATGGGGAATTCTCCCCCATCTCTTTGCCCATACTTTTATGGCCATGGTCAATTCAAGAAATATGTTAACTGTTATCTGTTACAACCTTAAGAGTCTTCTTTGTTGCTGGCCGATTGGCGTTTGAACCTTTCGGCCTGTGCTCAGCCAAAGTATAATCTAGTAACAAAAAAGTGGTCTGCTATTACTGCATTCGGTAAGCTATGTGTAGGCATCAAAACATAATTCATTGACGCGTAACACAGCTGACATTTTTATTGGCAGCTGTATGGCAGTGCTTAAGTTGGCTCATAAACTGCACTATGTGGTATACTGCTGCAGCAATTTGCATACAATTATGGTTTTTTGGTACACAAAGCTTGCAAGTAAATGTAGTGTAAGTTACATTCCATTTTGCTATAAAATAAAAAAAATCCAACGGTTGCTGTGAGGCTTTTTTAGCCTCAAGTATGAAGGGGCAATATAAACTTTTTTTACTTCTTTATTTAAAGGACATTTTCATAATATTTTCTGTAAATATAAATGTAGCTTTGTGGTGTTTGTATTATTTTCCATGACATGGTGTTATTTGTGTCCGATATTGTTTATAGTTTAATCCGTTTGTAAAACGTATATAGATTTGCACGTAAGGGTAATCAATGTTTAGCCTTCTGGATGTATACTTGTTCATTATAGTTTTAAATATAAACAAATGAATTGCTTTTTTTTCTCCACTCATTTATTGATTTGGAATTCAAGTTAGCTTTCACCCTTCATTCTTTCACCCATTCATTACATTTGACTGAAGGCAGGAGATGCAGGCATGTACAGGAATGCTTTACAAGGGCCCCACGGATATAAATAAATCACGTGGGAATGCATGTGTGTGTGTGTATATATATACAACTTTTGTGGGGGTTTGTTTTTATCTTTCCTTTTTTTTTCTTGGTGTCATTTTGTGCATGTGCGCTGTTGCAGGCAAGATGACCTGTCGGCCATGCAGCTAATCAGCAGCCGCACACTCAAGATGAACTTCTCCCCGCCGCAAGGGCTGCACCACCACCTGCCGCTCATGTTCGACTATTTCCACTTGTCGGTGGTGTCGATGAGCGTGCATGCATCGCTGGTTGCGCTGCATCAGCCGCTGACGTGGTAAAACATCCATGGACATTGCCATTCGCTGAATTTGATAAATGACCTCTTGAGTGAAATGCTAAATAGTGTGTGCATCAATCAGTCCTTACTCATGCATAGGTTTTCACTGTTATTGCTGGACAGCTCCTCGATGTGTCTTTGGGTATGATGGGTCCAGTGTTTTTCTCCACTTTCAGAAAATGTATCCTAATTCCTCTTTATATGCTGTGTTACTTCACATTTGACATCACTTCCATTGCATAATGAATATTAGATTTTACAATCATCAATTGTGATCTATCCATTGCTGATTAAAGGTCTATCAAGCCCTCGATATTCCACATGGTTAAGCAATTTATTCATCCAAATAGCATCCTGATCACAAGCTGATCTCATTGTGTTATCTCCTTGGCTTGCATCCTCCCTCCTTTGGCTCTCGCTCTCATGTTATTCTCGTCATATGTCTTGCCCCAAGTCCACTTTAGTTCCTCAGCAGTTAATATGGTGTATATAAATTGTATTTTCTGTCAGATCCATTTATATACTTATAATGTATCAGTGTAATTCCAAGCATGCACCTCACCTAAGATTCTTTGCAGACTTCTCAGCTTGTGTTTAATGTCCTTGATTCACCATGTTTGCAATCGCAGTTATTTAACAGCTAATTTATACTGACTGAAAACTTTGTTTAGGCACTATAGGTAACCCTTGGAAGGACCTGTAACACGTGATATAAGGGAGTGGACGTTTTTATTTCAGATTTGTATTGCAAAGAATGTATAAATCCCAGGAATGAAATGTTCTTTTAGACAAAAAGGGAAGTTTTTTACATCTGGTTTCCCTCGCTTTATTCTGGAGATGCGTTCAAAAAAAGGGCGCACTAAGCAAAACCGCACGAGACGGCCGCTTGTCAAGTAACGCACACAATGTTGTCCTGCGTTCATCCGCATAGCCACATATGACTGAATTCAAGCTGCAAAAAGTGAAATTTGTGTAGAAATAGGTTTGGCACATATACACAAAAGCAGAGGGAAACCTGTATCATACTTTACGAAGTAAACACTGTCATTCAAATGATTAAAAAGGGAAAGTTCCTGGATTGATTTGGTATAACTGAGGACATCATCCATAGCAGCAGGACCAGTTGGTGAACCAAATTATGGGACCTGTTGATTAAATGTTTATAGATTAAATAAATATTTCAATTCTGGAATGATGTTTCAGTCATTTGTTTCTTCATGAAGCGTGGTAAAACTGACTTGAAATATTACGTCCCCATGAGCCTCCAATCGCATGTATTTAATGTTTTCGCGGAGATCTTTACAAGCAGATTAACGCATGTGCAATGTGTAAATGAAGTGACAATTTACCATTTTTGAAAAGTTGTATTTGAATGAAAGGTCACGCTATTATTGTTATTATTGTTATTATTATTTATTACCCAAATAACCGCTGGTCTTTACAATACTACATAATGCAGTGGTCAAGTGTTAATCACAGTGATGTGTATTGTTGTGAAATTTATATCTGATTTTTCAGCTTTCAACGTCCACCCAAAAGCACGTGGCTGAACAAAAGCAGCCAGCCAACAAATCGAGAAGTCACAAACCCATCATTGGAGATGATTCTCTTTGGCCCTGGCTACGTGAAGCAGCTTGCAGCTGACGTAAGTCTGCCTTCTGCCAGAAAAGATCAAATGGACAATTGTGTTTGGATTCCCGCCAACTTGGCAGTGCCTGTCAGTGGTGAAATCCCTGCATGGTTTTTTTACCTGCTAAGTTGATAAGGGTTTTTTTTTATATATAAGAAACTACACACTCAAAAAGTTAACACTCAAAGATGAGAAAAATAACTTCAGGGCTAAACCAAAGGCAAACCAACATTTACTAGGCTTTAGATGAAAACGCATTACTTGGAACATTTTTTATACAGTGTTGACACAATGGAAGTTTTTGGTAAAAAAAAAACACTGCATACTTCTGTGGCTGTCCTTATCACTTGAACATTTGGTATCATTTTAGAGTGCTACCTCGTGGTGTGTGTCAGCATGAGCAATGTATCTTTCAAAATGCTTTATCCTGCAAGAGACCTTAATACTGCCCTGGAATAATTCATCTTTGCATAACTTTCTTATTTTACATTTAAATACACTCGTTTACATAACTTTTTACAGCCATTTTTAGTTGGTAATCGTGCATTAGAAATTTAGTTTCATTGCTTCTGGGTACAGAGCTGCTTAAAAATAATAAACCAGAGATTTTTTTATGACAAGTAGAGCATTCGAAATATAATTTCTCTGCACCATTTTTAAAACATTCAAGTGGTATACATACATTAACAAATGGTCATTATGTGAGAAGCCAACTAGCTTGATTCATGTACTGATTAAATGTTTCCACTCACAATTCGTTATGCTTAACATCATTGCAGATTATAGTTTCAGTTGGAAAAAATATAGAACATATTGTAAATGGCTGAGTTTTTAATGCAATATATTAAATAGCTCGAACTGATGGATAAAACAATTACACAGAGTGCGAAGATGCATTTATCACATATGCATGCATGCTTCATGTATAAAGGCAAAGCTGTTTTTTTGTAACATGGGATTGGAGCAGACTTTATTGTAGTGTGGAAGTAACAGCTTGGTTCTCTATTGTGAAGTGCCATGGGGTATTAATTGACAATATAATGATTGCACTATGTAACACAATTTTTGTTCATGGGTAGTAGGTGTTATTTCGTAATTGCTTATGCATAAAAAGTATAGAAAATGGCTACTGTTCCCCACAAACTTTGCTTTTGTGACCAGGACAGTGATATTTTTAAATGACCTATTTTCAATGAGAAAACGGGCGAATTTGTGTCTTTTCGTTCACATAGTCAGAAAAAAACATGAATCAAAATTAACATGTATTTATACTAAACTCGTACAAAAATGACTACGAAAGATTTAGAAGTGAGTAGTTTTTCGAGATTTATGATTATACTGTAAACGACTTTCACGAATCAGCCCCCAAATGTAGTCTCCCATCATGTTCCCGTTATACTGTCCTTGGAGCAGCATTCAAAGTCCAGTATATCCTGGTGGAAGCGCTCTCCTTGCTCCTCCGAGTACGCTCCCATGTTCTCCTTGAATTCATCAAGATGAGCATCAAGGATATGGATTTTGAGGGACATCCTACAGCCCATTCTGCTGTAGTTCTTCACCAGAGTCTCAACCAGCTCCACATAGTTTTCGACCTTGTGATTGCCCAGGAAGCCACGAACCACTGCGACAAAGCTGTTTCAAGCCGCTTTCTCCTTACTAGTGAGCTTTTTGGGGAATTCATTGTACTCCAGGATCTTCTTTATCTGTGGTCCGACGAAGACACCGGCTTTGACATTTGCCTCAGACAACTTAGGGAAGAAGTCTAGAAGGTACTTGAAGGCTGCCGACTCCTTATCTACAGCTCTGACAAATTGTTTCATAAGGCCCAATTTGATGTGCAGTGGTGGCATCAGCACCGTCCGAGGGTCCACCAGTGGCTACCACTTGACGTTGTTCCTCCCCACACTGTGGCCAGTCCCGCCTGTGGTAGTGCGCCGTGGTGTCTAAATCTTTAGTAGTAATTAAATCCTTTATATTAAGTTCACTTGCTTGCGCGCTTACGACCGTGCAAATTTTTCGGTCGTTTTTTAACCCACTTCCCGTGATCCAATCGAGCTGACATTTTGCACACAGACTCGTTGTGCGTGACAATTTATTTTCGTGAAAATTTTTTTCCTAAATTTTCCACTTTTTAGGAAAAAAAAATTCATATTTAATTTAAAATACCAATGTGATAAAAATGAAACTCTTACTCAAGAAAAACAGAAATGAATAATAAAAGAAAACCGATGCCACGCATATAAAGGATTTATAGTGAAAAACTTTGTTTTTACGGGTTAATTTTTTTTGTATTTAGTATAAATACATGTTAATTTGATTCATATGTTGTTTTTTTCTGACTTTATGTGAACGAAAAGACACAAATTCGCCCATTTTATCATTTCAAATAGTAAAATTTCAAAATATTACTGTCCTGGTCACCAAAGCAACGTTTGTGGGAAACTAGGCATTTTCTGTACTTTTGAGGCATAAGCAATTAGGAAATAACACTTACTACCCAGGAACAAACAACAATTTGTTACAGTGTTGTCAGCATAATTATCAAAATGGATTTGGCCAAACATCCTCTAATAGGGCCTTCCTGAAATAATAGACTTGAAATGAATTGAGAACTGTTATTAAACATACTTGTAACCTGAAAATTCTTTGGTATTTATATAGCATTGTTTTCAAAACATAAAACATGATTTTGTTCTCGTGTTATTATGTAATAACATTAGTTGTTACATAGAGGATTGAAATGAATTCCTATGTTGTTGCCTTTAGGTTATGTGTTCTAATTAATTTAATGTCAATGCTGCGAGGATTTCAATTGCATTACAGTAAGTGTATATGACATTTACTGGTCTGCTGCACAAGAAAAAAATCCTTCCCCATTACTTCAATGCATTGAAAACACTGATTTATGGAGGTGATTTGTACTGTTGTGCGTGCAGTGAATGTAACACTTTATTAGGTTCTTTGGTATTTACCAACACCTTAAGGCTACAGAAAATGTGAACATTTCACATTGGCCGAGTGAGTTGGGCATGTTAAATCAGCGCCGCGTAATTAATTTTCACATTTGTGTTGCACAGGGTAGCTCTTTCCTGGTGTCAGAGACTGCACTGCAACATGCCTACAACTGGCACCGCACAATGTGCAGGACCATCCTGTCCGCTTACAAAAACCTCTTCAACTACTTTGCCTGCATCATGAAAGTCATCCCTGAGACCCAAAGGGCCCAGTTAGGTAAGATCAATGCACACCGTATTCATCAATGCATGCCTTATAATTAGCATTTTACAGTTTCTCTCCTGTGATGTGATGTCCTATTTTGAAAAAATATAGTTGATCATATCTGTATCAGTTTTAATAATTTGTTGACCGAATAAAGTTTACTTTAAAATAATCATTGCAATGGTGTTTGACAAAAACATGACTCACATAACAGGAAAGATCTTAGAAATGCTTATTATTTTTTATGAGGTTTTTTTCACTCGGTTATTAGTTTGCTTAATGTTGAATTCGTTATTTTGTCTTTGCAAGCTTGGTTAGCTTCTATAAGGCTTACTAGGATTGTGTTGCTCCATGTTCACTAAATAATATAGGGGATATCACTATTGACCCTCGCATCCCTACATACCATTCATATAGCTGTCCAATGCAGGTTTAATTGCGAAGGAAGTATTTACAAAATTAAGCCTTGATGATCTGCTCATTATTTCTACAGTCTCAGTTGTAGTAAATATTCGCAGCCTTCTGATATGGCATTGTTGATCTGTTTGCATCTTTTTCACGTAATAATGCAAATTTATAGCATTTTCCATGGCACTCACTTAGCATAGCACTCAACAGTTGAAAGCTATACAGTCTCTGAATATCCAAATAAAAAAAATAATCCTAGGAAGCCTCTCTTTAGCATGGCCTCATTTTTGTTTGCTTGGGCATATCATAAATGTTGGTGCATATATAATTGCCGTTGTCATCAACACAAGGAATATTACCATTGACTAATAACTTGTCTTTACAACAATTCCCCCATGATGATCTTTTAAAAATAGAACCAAACCATTAATATTTCGAGCATTTGTAGCTTAACAGAAAATGTAGAGGAATTGAGGCTGGCAGAAATCCATAGATAATTTAAACTCTGCATTACCTACATTTTTGAAGGACATTTCTACAAACAATCTGGAATCAAGTTAGGTTTTTGTTTGCATTTCAGCAAATAATTGAATAAGTGGAAATCTTAACCAAAAAACATTTTTTTTCTTTACTGAAATGCCAAACACCAGTGACCATTAAGTCACATTAGGTTTTCGTGAGCACTTGGATTTTACTTTAAGGTTAATACATCCTTGAGTGCACTTGTGTCTCAGATTCACACTTACTCTGGTTAATATGTGATCGATGAAATGCAAAAAGTTAACTGTTGCGTGTCTACAATGCGTGACTAGCGCTCAACAACATGCGGGCTCTCTATGAACGCTTGCTTCGAAGAAAATGTCCTCATCCCCAGGCGGACATCACCATAGGTACGGTTGCCAGCGTACAATTACCTGGCTTAAACATACACGGCCAATTTCCATTGTATGGCCCCTTTTCATTACAAAATGGACAAATAGTTTATTACCGTATGTTGGTGGCTCACATTGATTATCAATTAAAAATGCATGGTAATTATCCATGTGGACGATTTTTGACCAAGGAGAGATTAATCAAATGTACCAGCAGTATATATTATGTCGATGTGAATGGCATATGCTTGGTAATGCATGTGGTGCTTTTATTTACGTGTACATTTTGGCTTTTTCTGAAATAGTTTTGAATGTCAGATGGTTCCATTTTTTGAAATGCAAACTACTGATGCTTTTGAGCTTAGATGTATTATTTCCAAGTCGTGTGGGCTGCTGTTTTCACTATAATGTTGGTCATTTTCAATGTGGATAAATGCCTAGTGTTTCATGTCTCATGGATTTTGTGTATGTGGTGTTAGTGTCTTTGCCATATCCTCATCTTCATACAGTAAACCACATTTTGCTGAAATCACCAGCTAAAATGTGTTGTTTTGAAGTCCAGTTCAACTGACAAATTATAATAAAAATGTCAACCCATTATGTGCTGACCTTAATTTTATTTAACATAGTGGTATTTAGTCAAGTTAAACTGCAGCCATTCTGATCCATTCATTTGAAATATCATCACTTTTTTGGTCTTAATGTTTATGTAGCTTTACTTATATGATGTATTGGTCAGGGGTTTGCATGACTAATATGTACTCCACTCAATTATAATTTATAATGATTTGTAAATATACTATGTTAATTGCATGTCACAATTATGAATCCCAGTCATAGACCTGGACAACCGCACATAACATTCCATGACAAAAGAAAATTACTGTACTTAATATCTGCTCCGTGAAAATGTTTTACTGTCATACCGTGTCTTCGCTATTTGATTTACTGCAGATGACCTTGATATCAGGGCACGAATGGCGCAGCTCACATCAGAAATACAGGTTTGTTGTGTGGGCGTCATGAAAGCTGCTGGGATTCAACTCACTACTTCAGCGTTTTAAAACAAATTTTTGGTTTTCCGAAATGGTTTTACATGACACATGGCCTTGCTGTTAAGTAAAAATACATTAATAATTGACAGATTCATATTTTATAATTGCTCTTCAGGTTTGTGATTTCTTAGCTGCACTCTTCATCTACATATACATTCAAGCTTAAAATCATATATGGATCTGTCAGAAGAATTCAACAAGTATTACACAATGTTTTGTTTCAGGCATATGTATGCATGTCATTGTGCAAATTCATGCATTAGATGTCTGTAGCATTTTCATAATTGAGTATACATAATTAGAATAGTCATAATTTCCACTAAAGCAGTGTTTTTAATAATTGATTAATAAATCGCACGCAACATTCCATTAGAATTATCACTCTAGAATGTGCTGAAATACGTTTATCATGGTTACTGTTTTATATGAATAAAACGTTTATTTTCAAATAAATTGTGCTCTGAATTGCAATTGGGCCTATCTTATAACTTGCATTGTTGAATACATTGCATGGAAAAACTTGGCTTTAGTGAATTTCATTGAGCACCGTTTTTTTGTTGTCGACCGTCAACATACTCCGTGTAAAGATTCGGGTGTCATTTGGTGCTTAAACATAGAAATCTGAAGACAAAAACCTAAACACACGGGCTTCCTAAGGACCAGCACATGACAGCAGTCAACATCCTCATTGCCATCACTATCCCATCTACCAAACACCAGGGTCATTCAGACTCATGCACTGGAAACAAAATCAATAGCCCCCCAAAAAACAACAGCAGGGCCCAAATCAGTGAATGCTATTCAAATTCTCAGCTCGGTCGTTCTGCCCATTTGCAGGCAATGCGTTACAGTAGGACCCACTCCTGCATGGCGTTCCCACTTCTGAGACTGTGCATTGCTCTCTTTGAGAGTGACCCCGTTACTCCCTGCACATCTCCCACATGGGTAGCCATGCTTTGCAAGACAGCAAAGTCCATAAGCTTATTTATTCACTTTGCTGGTGTACCAGCCCTTCAAAAGAGATATGGGCACAGCCTAGACATCTTATCACTGAATATGGTAGCTCTGATGTCAAGTGACAGGGCCATGCATAATATGATGCTCTGGCATATCCCATGTCTGTTTTATTTTTTATATTTCTGGATGGGGGCAGAACACGCATTGTACTCTTGCATAAGGCCGCCTTAAGAAACATGTTCTTTTGAGCAAAAGTAATTTCAGTGTTTACATTGGAAGTGTGATACACTGGATTCATTTAATAACTTTTCCTTAATAGGATTGTCATTTTGTAGAATGTTTTACCATGGTTTTTAATATAAGCACAGACAAAATAAGGATTTCTAGTTTAAAGGACTTAAAATGTTAAGTCTAACTGCATCTCGATAAATCCAATTAATTTTTGTTCAGGTCAAATATCCTCTTACTAACAAAGACCTTATACAGGTTTTTTTGGGTTAGATCGCCTAAATATATAAATGTGTCGTTAAATCCGCCACCACCCGACACAGCCAACCAGTAAGGTTTGTCACGTAAACGGTACATGCCAATTCGTCACTCGTACAGCACATCAGTGTGTTGGAGAGCCAAGCCACAACATTTACAATCTGAGTACGACGTTTCCTGTATTATGGATGATATTGGTCGCGAAAGCCTACGTGTTCAACTAACAGACCTGAAAATTTCCCTTGACTTTTTTATGATACCAGGTTCTCATCCGTTTTTGGTAGAATTATAAAAATGTCTGCTTTACAGTTCATCCACTAGGTGACAATCATTATACGTTTAACGAAAATAGAAATACATAGCACCTTTCATCATTGATTTATAGCTGGTGGAGTTATGCATTTTACTTAACAAAATTACGATCAAATATGTTCTATAATATCTTTGCTGTTGATATAAAATATATATTCATAAGAGTAACATTTCACAAATTGACGCAGGAATTTCATATTTTTGTTAAATCTAAAACTTGCAGGGGCAGGAAATGAGTGTACCCTGGCCTGTCAAGAAAACCGGTGTAATACAGCCAATACATTATACACGAGTAGAAAAGAAACATTGAATTGCTCCCTCAAATGCATAGTACACATGTGAGACCGCTTTCTGGAAAGTCCAAGCCAATTTAACGCCACTTCATACTAGGGTGTGCAAGTGGCGCCCTGCGCACCTTTCCATTATTTAGGGGTTGTGACAATCAGGATGTTGCGCACATCACCCCTGTGAATGTTTGCAGAAGGTGCGAAGCCCTGATGAGCTCGTCGAGGTAATCAACATGGACCTTGCACACCTGTGCTCACTGCTCATGTCCCTGTGGGGCCAGTTTCTCGAAACTGTCAACCTGCAGCCTGAGGTCACCTCTGGTCTTGCTCTGGAGCACCATTGCATGAGGGTATGTGATTTTACCAGCACCTCTACGTTTTAAAATATGCATGTTATCCACTCTCATGGTTGAGTTATGTAGTCGAGTTTGGTCATGTTTTAAGAGGTGACCTCCTAATGACTGCCACCTCAGCACAGCATCACAATGTTTTCTGCGAATGGCCCTGAGAAGGTGATGCCTTCCAACTATGAGGTTCAGGCCCCTCGCATTTAGCAATTGAGGTCTCACCTTTATGCCCAGTAAAGGATATTTTCTGGATGACAAGCTGTACGTTTTTTTATCCTGTTCAGCACACGATTGTGCAGAATCTTGTGAAACATGATTATTGGTAGTGAAATAGTTGTGTGTGCAATTGGTGGTTATCACGTTGAAGCCAACAACTCACTTCACTTGAGAACCTTATGACATCTTACATGGCACATTAGAACATGGCATCTTAACAGTGTTAGATAAGTTTAACACGTAGGCTTTCGCGACCAATGTTATTCATAATCAACGTTTTTGGGTTTAGATCGCGTTTATTTATAAATGTGTCGTAACCCTCCACCACCCGACACGGCCAATCAGTAAAAATGTGTCACGTTGACAAAGACAAATAGTTCACTGCTTTAGCCCACCGGTGTGTTGAAGCCACAACATTTACAATTTGAACTATTTGTCTTTGTCAACGTGACACATTTTTACTGATTGGCCGTGTCGGGTGGTGGAGGGTTACGACACATTTATAAATAAACGCGATCTAAACCCAAAAACGTTGATTATGAGTGTTAGATAAGTACTATAATACAGCCATAACCACAGCCATTACCCCCTAGCATCGCAGCTCACGCCTTTGACTTTGAGCCTGGCCTTTGCTCGTTTTGATAAAGCTATAACTTTTGTATATTAATGCGAAAAGATTGGTACTTTTTGAATCGGTACAGTATTGCGATTGTTTTGTTTGTATTTAATTTCATACAAACTACTTTATTGTTTTCCTTTTCAACATTTTATTGAGGAGTTCAGTTGACTCCTTATAGTGCTAACTTGGAGAATACAACAAACAAGTGTAATATTTGGGAGTTTTTATGTTGGACGTGGCATGTTCCCTTTAACAATTGAAAGACATAGTTGCATTTGTCATACATTACTAACATAAGGCAGTAACGTAATTATCCTCCAAAAAACAGCACAACTAACATTACAGTACAATTTCTAAACAGTTACATTTAATCGTGTAAAAATGCCTTGAAGAAAACCGTTAAGTGTACTTGTACGTAAAACAATGGTGATTCAAATATAAATTACAGTAATGCAACAATAATTGCCACCGTAACTTTACCAGATATCAAACCGCAGCTGTAGCTACAAGGAGATAACGAGTGAAATTGGCAGCTCGCTTGGGTGCTGTATCTGTGCTTGAGTGAGTGTTCTTGGAGTTTTAGGTGTTGCTTTGTTAAGGTTTCCTTAGATACATGCCATTTTCATTATATACATGTATAATAAACAGCATTTTTACTTTAATGCAGTGCTGTATAGTATTACTACATTTCTATTAATACAAACTGGATTTGCACTCTAAAATATTGGAAAAATATCTCAACCGCTTATTTTTGCTACTCCCTATAGATGGAGATATATCTAAGCATGGGAAGGTTTAAACCTGCCTGGTGGGATGATCACATTTGATCAACTCTTTGAGTTGGTCCAAAGAATAAAATGACAGAAAAATCTATTATTTTGAGTTGGTGATCTGAATAAAGCGGAGAGTTTTTTAGTGCCACTCATGCGTTTTTTTTTCCATTTGAAACTGAATGGAGAATCTTTTTTTAAATGTATTCTCTTATGTTGCAGGTAAGGAGATTCTCTGAAGCATTCTTTTATCAAGATCACAATAAGCAAGCAGCACTGGCATTTCAGGAAACACAGTAAGTAATCATTGAGCTTGTTTATTTCATGTTGAGTGTATATGTTATGCACTGAATGTTTATATTGGTTCTGTGTTATTTAATATGGAATTGGCCAACAAATTCAAACAGATAAAAGGTCAAAATTGCCTTCCTACTCAAATGGTCATATATTGGTGATCTATTAGGCAGTCCTGTAGCGAGAGCTAGTTGCTTTAATACAAATGTTGATTCCTCACACCCCAGTACAGATCCCAAGCAGAACTCCCAAAACAATCTTAAGACTTTGTAAGACTTCCTAGATTAGGAAAGTATATTTTGTACATAACATGGACTCTACATTTCATTCCTATTCCCAGCGCTCAGAACCATGCCGTGATTGCATCCATAGTGAAGGCCTCGCCCTACCTAACCAACTTGCCGCCTCTGCCGGTGGAGTGCGTGGAAACGGATGGGGATCCCAGCACGCTGCCCATCATATTTGAAGACCGCTACACTGATAGAGACTGCACAGATGGCACTCCAGCCAGGCCCGCATCTCGGCACTCGGAGCACTTGAACATTTGCGGGGAGAACATCGGTGGGATTCCAGCGTCGGACACAAGCTCACCCGAGGAGGGAAGCAGTGCCTCGTTCCTTCCCTTTAGCCTGACAGAGTTGAACATCGAACAGGGCAGTAGTGCGAGCCCAAAACAAGTGAGCGAGTTTAAGGAAGATGTTCGGGATGGGTTTGCCAGGGAATGCATTCAGAGTCCTTGCAATCCTGAAGCTAATTGGGATGGGTTTCTAATCGCTTCAAAGCCACCCAGGGATTTCTTAGCAGATGGACTGCAAATACCAGCTAATTGTGATACTAAACAAGAGCATGGCGCCACCTTAAAAGGTCATGAGCTGTGTGTAGGAGGCAGCTTGAAAAGTGAAAAAGCTACTTTGATTGAAACTCTCTCCCTGCCATTAGTCAGAGACAGGAGGGACGATGGGAAGCATTCTGTTGATTCTGAGCCCCTACAAAGGCCCACCTCTGGTGTGAGGCACATTGATGTCAAACCTAGCGACATAGACCCTTATCGTGGCACAAAAGCCATAATAGTTCAAAGTGCAAAACCAGCCGATGAGCAGAATGCATGCTGCATGACAGATGTATGGAACATTGCAGATGAAAATCCAAGAACAGAAGCTGTATTGGTAGTTGACAGAGGTATGTCGCCACTACAAGAAAGAACATTTAAAGATAACCTTGATTCTGAAAATGGACATCAATTATCTGTGTCGAACACACCCATTAAGGCTGGAAGAGCTGCGGCAAATGGAAAAGGTCAGGGACTGAAGCCCACTGACCCACACATTAGAACACTTTCAGCTTTTTCTGATTCTGGGCTTGACAGTGAATGTAGCTCGGTATTGATGTCCAACAACAATGACTTAGACAGAGTTTGCAGTGGTAATCCTGCTCAGCAAAACACCATTGACAATTTACATGGTCAGCCAAATGCAGATGTTAAATATGGGCATGTTGATGACAATCAAATGGTAGAAAAATCGAAACACCTACATTCATCTCTATCTTCCATCAACTCAATTGCTTCAGATGATGACACTAATGTTGAAGTCATTGATCTTGCACTCTGCGAACCTCACAATCATAACAGTAGTACACACTGTCTAGACTTAGCTGCAGTAGAACCCGATGTTGAAAAGAGCACAGAAATGGAAAACCGGGGGAATGAAATTGTCATAAAACCACATGACAATAACCAAATCCAGACTCTAGAAGCCAACTGTCAACACCCCTCTGTGCCACATCGCTTGCAGGATGTGATGGATGGGAAATCTGATGTAGATGAAGATTTATACGATGAAGAAATTGATACTGTTCATTTGCAGGGAAATATAAACAAACTTTCAGGTTCTCCAGAGTGTTCCTTACCTCCCAGTCATTCAAAAAAACTGTGTTTTCCCTTGCACATAAGTGAAGATAGCGATGACGAAACTGACTTACTCACTTGCCCGGAACCCCTCACCACAACAGATGCACACAGCGATGTGGAGGTGTTCAGTGAGGAGGATATTATCGATTTGACCTCTTGTGTTGTTGAAGAAGACAAACTTCCAAGTATTCTTCCACACCATGCCCTGGTAGATGCAGAAACCCGACCAACACTACACCTCATAAGTAATGAAACTGCTGTTATTTCAAAACCAAGTCCAGAGGTGGAAAGCGATGATGCCACGTCTCTTAAAGGATGTGATGAAGTGGAAACAGGGCTGGTGGAGAACTACTTCTCGTTACCAAAACACAGCAATCTGATGAATACAGTCGAGGATGGCAGCAAAGAAGACATTAATGCTGCTCAAGATACGGCCGACACGTTGTTGCCTGTGCACATAGAGAGTCGAAAGCTCATTCCAGAAGGCATAGAGAATGGATTTTTCAAGGAAGCCGATGTCATTGGCAAAGGTGACAGGGACACGGGGGAAGACAAACTGAACCAGCATCGGGCTGACAGTGATGGCTCAGTATTTCCACACCTAGAGAATGAGCCGACGACGTCTCACATACCAGCATACTCGGAGAAGATGAAAGCGATGGATGTTGTTGATTTGTCGTGTACGACAACCTGCCTTCCGTTTTCCTCTTCCCGGGACTCGCCGATTGGAGGCGTGCAGTCGCCACCGATTAGCCGGAATTCTGGTGGTGGCTCTGCATCAGCCTTGCAGCGCACACCCTGCTACGACAATTTTCCCAGCAACCACCAGCTGTTAAGGTAAATTTAGCAAGGGGGGGGTACACTGGGCTTTGCTGTTGTGAATGTACTGCTTCTGTGCCATATGCCACGGGATTGGCTAACACCCGATCATCTGGGTGCACAAACTTGATGCATTGCTCATTTGAAAATAATTCCCACTTCTGATGAAAATAAAAATGAGGCAGTTTAACACGCAGGTTTTCGTGACCAATATCCATAATACAGGTTTTTTGTGTTAGATCGCGATCTAACCCTAAACACCTGTATTATGAAAGACGAGGCAGTTTTCATTATTTATTCATGTATTTTTAATGCACTTAAGATGTTATGTAAGTGTGAATGTATATAAAAAAAATAAACACCCACTTGTTTTGCCATTAACCTACCAATGTTTTCTTTAACTTCTCTGCTTTATTTTAAAGTCTTTTTAAAGTTATTAAATGTAAGAGTAGAGCAAGAAAAGATATCTCCATACACAGTTTTTTTTGCAAATGAGCCAAGGTCAGTAGCTATGAATTTAGAGCAGATGGTTGATATAGACAGAGTAGTTTGTGTCTGGAACATGATGATGCACTGGTTTTAACTCTTTCCTTTAAAGACCTGGGTTAAATTCCTGACCAAGCACATTATCGGGAGCAACTAATATAGATGAGTATTATGTTTGACTGTCAGTGGTAAAGATACAAAGATGGACAGGCATTGTTTTGGCCAAACAACCCTCAAGTGCCAATACCAGCATTAATAGATGTTCACTAACAGCACATTCCCCAAGAGGCGATAAGACTTGAAGTTTGGATTTAAAGCTTTCGTGACTGCAGGGATTTCACACCTGATGATGATTGCTTGTGTTGCAGTCGAAACGTCATGAGAATTTTATTGTATTATATTTTTATTATTTTATTGTTTCCCTTCTACGTGATTTTACCAAAAGAATCAAGAATATGACTTTAAGTGTTTTGGTCTTTACCCAAGTTGGCTGATTGCATTGTATTGTTGTCCGTGCAGCTTTTTTCATGCCAAACAGGAGCTGAAGAAAACAATGAATTTCACTGGCCGCTGGTACAGTGATCTCCCGGAGCTGGCTTCCTCTGTGCCCTACTTCTCGCCAGATGAGCTGGAGAGCCCGGGAGGTGGCATCCACCTCATCGTGTGTGTGCATGGCCTCGACGGTCAGTCTCAGACCCACTGGCAGGTTGACTTGGTTTCCTCCCATAGCTAAAAAAATTAACCCGTAAAAACAACGTTTTTCACTTTAAATCCTTTATATGCGTGGCATCGGTTTTATTTTATTATTATTCATTTCTGTTTTTCTTGAGTAAGAGTTTCATTTTTATCACATTGGTATTTTAAATTAAATATGAAAAAAAAATTTTCCTAAAAAGTGGAAAATTTAGGAAATATTTTTTCACGAAAATAAATTGTCACGCACAACGAGTCTGTGTGCAAAATGTCAGCTCGATTGGATCACGGGAAGTGGGTTAAAAAACGACCGAAAGATTTGCACGGTCGTAAGCGCGCAAGCAAGCAAGCAAGTGAACTTAATATAAAGGATTTAAAAAATACCACACACTGAAAGTGGTATTTGGCCAAACATCCCAGTGCCGAAATTTTATTTTTTATTTCCTCAATTCTTATTACACATCACAAGTTCTCCCCCCCAACCACCACTGATAACTTGGCAGGGCCCTCCTAAAAAAGTGAGACTGGGTCAGCAGGGGTGATGATAATCATAAGCTTTGCACATCAGCTCTGCCAATAATGTTTACAGTATGTGTTGTAAACACTATGTTCGTAGTTGGCCCTGTCATCGGAGTATGGAATTTCTGCCACTGAATTCGTGTCGAATTGATGATCGTTTCTCCATGTTCTTTTGAGTGGGTGAAACACATTTACTCTCTTTACTTGTCTATGGTTGGAAACATTTTCTATTTACAATTATGTTTAGCATCTTTTGGATTATCATTAACCCTCAATCATAACCACAACTTCCATGGTTTGTTGAGCATATAACACGTAACGAGCATTTATTGGTCATAAGTAAATATGGGTCATCACCCCATTCATTGTTTTGCTCTTTCCAAACACTGCTCCAAATGTAATGCACAAAAGAGTATTTTTTCCATTGGTGTCAGTGGATGATGTAGATATGTTAAAGCCCCCAATTAATTCGGCACATTAATGTGGACTTTAGCTACCAAAAAGTGGAGGCACTGGTGTCAATATAGGTATTTCTTCAGAAGGGCATAAACTGGCTTATGAATAATCTTTGTTTTAAAAGTTACTTATTTTCTTCCATGAGGCACTTGCTTGACCCTCATGTTAGAGTTTTGGACATAATATCCTTGATGTTTTAAAATAATGTCATTGATAGGAAATCATCAATGAATTTTGACAGTGTACCGCTGCTGTGGTTAACATTGTGTTCTATTAATCTTTGTTTTTATTCTCGACCAGGCAACTATGCGGACCTCCGCTTGGTGAAGACCTATATTGAACAAGGACTTCCTGGGGAAAAGATGGAGTTTCTCATGTCGGAGAGTAACCAGGCAAGTAATGGAGCTTCATTGGAAATGTACTGCGTGTGGTTCAGTGCATCTACCTTGTACACAAAAGGAAATCAATTAATGCGTATATGAGAGCTTGTTCAAACATGATTCATCTTGTCTTTTATTGCAGTCTGTCTGCTATGAGCTCAAGTGATTCAACATTTTATAACTTGGGCACTAGATGGCAGTCATGTGTTTCTAAAGGATGTTTAAAGTCACCCAGTATTGTGATGTTTGTCATGTTTAGCCTGTACTTGAATGCTGCAGTTGTCAGGTGTATATAAAAGCACCCATGGTTGAATTGAAACTGTTATAAGCCTGTTTTGAATCCCCTGAAAAACAAGTCTGTGTGACATTAATGCACTCGTATTAGCTCCATTTTCATATTGTGGCTTGAAAATTTCAGAAAACGAGGTTTTGTGCCTGAGCTTTATGGCCTCAAGAGGAGACTTGTGGCATCGTTTTAACGAGTAAATAAAAAATGATTTAAAATGTGTTTTCCCGGTCACTTAAAAGTGATCAAATTCTTTTTTTTATATTCCCAAAATCTCCCCGTGAAATCTTATCTTTATTGTAAGATTCAAATACAGTTTTTTGCACATCTGTATTTTTCCACATCTTAAACATTCCATGCACAATGGCAGTGATCACATCACACTGCCAGTATAATTTTTCATCAGCTTTGACATGTAAGGCAAATGTTTACGTTCTAAAATTGAACTCATTTTCAGACACAAAGCAACCTTGAAAAACCTTATTTAAGCCTCTGATCTTAATTAAGCAGCTTTGTTTTTTTTCAAATTGACCACATTTTAAACATTAAGCACCAGTTATTGTTCATTGTTTTTTTAATGTTCTGCAATATGTTCATTGGCATTGTTGTTTTCCTAGAAAACCGAACTTTACAAAGATGCACCACAATAACATTGCTTATTGGCATTGGTAGTACATACCTTTTTGAGGTTTTAATGAAAGCTGATGAGTAAAATCATTCAAAAAACGATCTGTGATGAAAAAAAAGGTTAAAGAATGATATTGTACGTAATATTGTACGTAAAATTCGTGATCTGACCCCATCTGTGAAGGATGTGATCCCTGAAATTCAATACCCCGGTGTCTACAAACTAAGCTGTGTCTGCGGCAGCAGTTACATTGGGGAAACTAAGCGACATGTCTCGGACCGTGTTCGTGAACATAAGGCAGATCTGAAACACGGTAGGATCAATACTTCTGCCATGGCTGATCATTGTTTTAATGCGGTGGGCTCACACGAAATAGATTTTTCCAAGACGAAGGTTCTTTGCAAACCCACTGGCTATCAACAAAGATTCGTTCATGAAGCCATCCAGATATATAAACACAGACACAATTTCAACCGAGAAGATGGGTACAAACTGAGCAATCATTGGAAGGACGTTATAACCAGTTTAAGTCATAAGTGGCTATGATGTTTCCATCCTACTTGCTGATGTTAGCAGTTATTTCCGACTCTCTGATTTACATTACCAGGTTAAATGTCTTTACATTAACAGGCTAAATGTCTCACTAACACAGCCACCACTGCACCTTTCCCTCGATGTGGCGGTGGCTCTCGTTTTTTAACAGGCTAAATGTCTCACTAACACAGCCACCATTGCAGTGGTTTTCTTACATTGACATGCTAATCTTACATTAACAGATTGACATGCTAATCTCTCACAATACAATGGCCACCTCCACAGCTTCGTTGTCGTGGAGGTATATCAGCTCTCCGATCCTACATTTACATCTCTGGCCCCGCCTACTTACCCTTGGGCGACACCCATCTCAAACCTATATAACATCCTGCCTCAGCAGCTCTCCCGCTCTATTTTTTCACCTGATGATGATTGCTTGTGTTGCGATTGAAACGTCGTGATATTTATTATTATTATTATTTTTCTATCTACGTGGCTTTACCAAAAGACCCAAAGAATATAAATTCCTGCAGTCACGAAAGCTTTAAGTCAAGATTTAATGATATTGTACTAAAAGCTCCGTCTTAATTTCTTCTGCTTTAGATATCTCTAAAAGCATTTAGGAATAAATAATTTACCTTCCGCACATTATAGCGAAGTAAAGTAAATGCATTGTAAATTGTACTGACAGAATCATACAAGGGGAACATTAAAGGTCTTGAAATATTAAATTCATTATAACTTTTGTAGTGGATTCTACTGAGTCGCAGACGTACTTCTTGAGCGGCAACACATATTAACACCAACACATAACACAAAGGGGTTACTGCCCCTTTACCAGATAACCTATGGTGGTGGACCACCAGGCTAACTACGCTAGTTAATGAGAGTAGCTACAACGAACAGGACCCTAGCTGGGGTCCTCGTCCACGTGATGGTGACTTTTTCTCGGACGTAGAAAGTAGATCTTCAGATGACGACAGCAACGCTGAACCCCGGTCCCTGTGCGGACCCCGGTTTATATGTTCCTGAGTCGTGGCTGGCCCCGCCCTTAACCACGACCACTTTCGAGAAGCCTCTTGTCGTTTCTCGACCCTTCCCGTAGGATCTCACCCTGACACGTGACCACCCCCAAGCCCCCACCTGGGGCCCTTGTGTAGATCTTACAGGTCACGTGCCTTCCAGGGTCAACCAGAGTGCCATGGCCTAGGGTAACCTCATCCCATGGCTGACACTCACACTCGCTCGTGTAGGAGTCGGCACTGCACGCCACGCGTGGTGCCACTGCGCTATCCCAGCGCTCACTGAACCCCCTCTAGGGCTGGTACTACACCCACCTACGGGGTGTCCGCGATGACGATGCATCATCGCACACCGTGCCTTGCGAAAGCCAGCATTACACAGTGACATTCACGATGTCGCTACATACGTGATATCCGCGATGCGAGTACATCGCACGCCTTGCCCCTCTAGGGCTGGCACCACACAGTGACATCCGCGATGTCACTACACTTGTATAATGAATTCAATATTTAACCATTGTTTCTCTTATTTTAGCTCGCCCATGTTTATGAAAAAAGGGTATTAATTTCGCATTGTTATTGACTGTCGCTCTTGTCTATTATGAAGTGATAATTGCCTTGTGGATTAGGATTAGGATTCATTAAAAATAAACATGCCATTCAATAAATGGGGTTTAGGGATTCATAGCAAAATGGTTATCCTGCCATTATTGTTACTCATGTAATTATTGATGACCTTATGTAGTTCAACACCATTTAAAGGCAAGGGTTGGCATTCTGCTTGCTTCGTCTTTAACAGGTTGGCACTTTTGCGGACGGAAAAGGAAAAGATACCCCTCGGTGATCTCGGATATCGTGTTACGTTGCACAAAATGCACTTTCAGATTTATAATGTCGCTTTTCTGCCTTTGGGGATTTTTACTGACTCTGTGCGCAATCTGCAAAGGCATTCATCTTTTTCCAATTTCTCTGTATTCGCTAAGAGAAAGGTCAGGCACATTGAGTGGAGGAGAGGGAGTGCTCTCGCTGGTGCCTTCGACTTAATTTTAAATTTCCGAGGAACAATGGATCTCCATACAGTGGTGGCCTGTGGGGCTTTTTAAATGGGCCATACAACCAACCGAATGATGTCAAGTTGCGATATTGCTTGGCTGCACAAGCCCTTCCCACTGGCTATTCGTGGTTGCTAAGAGGGTCATTTCAACACAATGTCTTTGTTTAAAGATAGGGAATGTTGGAAATTGGGGGGGATACATTGTAGTAGGGTTCTTTGACCAATATGCCAAATACAGTTAACAAGGGGCAATCGTATTTTTGGTTCTTTCGGTAAACTCACGTAGAAGGGAAATAATAAATCGTGAGAATTTTTATTGTTTATATTTATATTATTTTATTCTTTCCCTTCTACGTGACTTTACCGAAAGAACCAAGAATATGAATCCCTGCAGTCACGAGAGCTTTTAATCAAAATTTAAGGGGCAATCGGTTATTTTAAACTAGAATTATTCACAGATAGTGGAGGCTTATAATCCATATTGAAAAGTCATGTATTGATGTTCAGGGAAAAAAATATGAAAATATTTATTTTTCATTGAATATCAATGTTAGGTTTCACACAGCATTTTAACAACATTGTGTATTATTTTAGTGGTAATAGTTTACGTATTTATGAAGTTTTAATGATTAAGGTGAACTTTTTTATATTCATTAAGTTTTAACCAATGCCATCGTCATAACATGTCTACAGCAGCAATAATTTTCTTAAATTTTACTATTTAATTCATGTCACCTGTATTCTCTAACACATGTATTATGTTTTTTTCTATAAGACATGACGCCAATAGCACAATTGGAATAAATTGGGGGAAAAAGTGAATTTATTTTTATTTTTTAACTGTTATCTGGCACTAAAGATGTATTACCGAAGCTATCAACATAAGGTGTATGCCGCATTAATTGCTCTTGTGGCAAATGCTATGTTGGGCAGAAAGAGACTAAAATAACACCAAAGGTATATATGAAATACTCCCAAATACAATTGATGGCAGTGGCAGAACACGTGTGCCAACAAGGGCACTCTATTTATTTTGTTAATTTTGAAGTTCTGTGCAAAACTAGTTACTACTGGCCAAGGCTAATTAGAGAATATATCTAATTTTAGAGAAGTAATTTTTTTTTACTGTTCGGATAGCTACAGGCTTAGTGCTGCTTGGAAGCAAATAATGCATTGTTTAAATGCATGCCTATACAGGTCACCATACGTCAATGGGCATTACCTGTGGGCTGACAATAACATGTACTGCTATTTTATTGCACACAAACGACAGGAGGTACAAGGACACTGTGCATGCATAATGTACGTTGCTTGCCATATGAATAATCCAACCTGTAATGGATACCCATTGTAATGTATATGCATTCATTAACCCTCCCCTCCCCTTTGCACGTGAAGAGCTCTCAAGTGACATAATCACATCTATCCCTCTGTTTAAGGAATGAAACAGGAGGATTTCTCCACAAATCTGAGGATGCTAGTTGTAAT